GCTAACCACTCTGCCACAGGGCTAACCACTCTGCCACTGGGCTAACCACTCTGCCACTGGGCTAACCACTCTGCCACAGGGCTAACCACTCTGCCACAGGACTAACCACTCTGCCACTGGGCTAACCACTCTGCCACAGGGCTAACCACTCTGCCACTCTGCCACAGGGCTAACCACTCTGCCACAGGGCTAACCACTCTGCCACAGGGCTAACCACTCTGCCACTGGGCTAACCACTCTGCCACTACCCACTGCCACTCTTGCCACAGGGCTAACCACTCTGCCCACAGGGCTAACCACTCTGCCACAGGCTAACCACTCTGCCACAGGCTCCACTCTAACCACTCTGCCACAGGCCACTGCTAACCACTCTGCCACAGGGCTAAACCACTCTGGCTAACCACTCTGCCACCACAGGGCTGCCAACCACTCTGCCACACTCTGGGCTAACCACTCTGCCACTCTGCCACAGGGCTAACCACTCTGCCACTCTGCCACAGGGCTAACCACTCTGCCACAGGGCTAACCACTCTGCCACTGGGCTAACCACTCTGCCACTGGGCTAACCACTCTGCCACTCTGCCACAGGGCTAACCCACTCTGCCACTCTGCCACAGGCTAACCACTCTGCCACAGGGACTAACCACTCTGCCACAGGGCTAACCACTCTGGGCCACTCTGCCACAGGGCTAACCACTCTGCCACAGGGCTAACCACTCTGCCACTGGGCTAACCACTCTGCCACAGTGAAAGGAGGAGGCGTGAATTGCACCTGATGCCCTGCAGCACAAACCTAACAGTCTGTGTGCATTCCTCTGTTCCAATAATAAATACAAAACTCACACACACACACACAACAACACACACAGCTTCAAACACAACACACACAGACACACACAACACACACACACACAGTTTCACAGTGTGAAGAACCACACAACATTCACAGAATCACCTAACATCACACAGACACACACACACACAGAACGACACACAACACAACACATCATTCTCAACACACACACACCTCCACACACACACCACACCACACCACCAGAACACAAAAACAACCTCAACTCATCACACACACACCACACAACACACACACACACACACACACCTGCACAAACACACACACACACACACCTCAAAGACTTGGACCATTTTTTCAGTGCAGGGACAAAGTGACGTGTCACAGTAACATGAGTGTGAAACCAAACCTCTGACCTCTGACCTCTGACCTCTGACCTGACCTGTGACCTGTGGACAGAGGTGTCAGGCTCATACACAGAAAATCCAGCAGGACATATACACGGCCGCTCAAAAGTTTTAAAACACCACAATTTTTATAGTTTTTTCCTGTTTACTGTCGACCAAAACATATTCTAATCTTTAGATTGACGTGTGTCGACCTTTGTCAGATAGAACAGCTGAACTCACTCGTGGCTCGTTCTTTTTACAACATAAATCAAATATTGTTGAGAAAGTTCTTCCCAAGTCTGTCGCAGAAGTTTCCATAAATGTGTGGCACTTGTCGGTTGCTTCACTCTTCAGTCCAGTTCATCCCAAACCAGCTCCATGAGGTTTAAGTCGTTCACACTCCGACCTGTAGATGACAAATAGAATCCTGCAGGTTGTAAAGTCTCTGCATTTGTAAAGTTTGTCAGTGAATGTGTCTCTGAATGTGTTTGTTTTGATCACATTATTCCAGTTGTTGCTTTTGTACGTGTGGTGTTTCTGTGACAGTCCAGTGGAACGTTGAGACCAGTGCGACCTTACACACACACACACACACACACACACATGTTTGTTGTATCATGTTTGTGCACCACGTGTGTGTAATGATTAGAGGAGTAACGATAATATCCAAGTCTCCCGATACGATATTGTGACAGTTTGAACCTCACAGTCCGATATTTATTGTGATAAGGGGAGTGGGGAGACTCATGATACGAACCATATTCTACATCATAACAACAGTGACATTATAAAAGAGTCTGAGCATCACACACACACACACACACACACACACACACACACACACACACACACACACACAAACACACACACACACACACCTCCAAACACACACACACACACCACAACACACACACACCACACACACACACACACACACACACACACACACACACACACCTACACACACACACACACACACACCTACCACACACACACACACACACACCTACAACACACACACACACACACACCACACACACACACACACACACACACCTACAAACACACACACACACACCTACACACACACACACACACACACACACCTACAAACACACACACACACACACACCTACAAACACACACACACACACACCTACACACACACACACACACACACACACCTCACACACACACACACACACACACACCACACACACACACCACACACACACACACACACACCTACACACACACACACACCACACACACACACACCTACAACACACACACACACACCTACACAACACACACACACACACACACACACACACCTCCAACACACACACACACACACACACACACACACACACACCTACACAACACACACACACACCACAAACACACACACACACACACACACACACACCTACACACACACACACACACACACACCTACACAACAACACACACACACACCTACAAACACACACACACACACACACACACACCTCCAGACACACACACACAACACACACACACACACACTATAAACACACACACACACCTACAAACACACACACACACACACTACAACACACACACACACACACCTCCAGACACACACACACACACACAAACACACACACACACACCTACAAACACACACACACACACCTACAACACACACACACACACACACACACCTCCAGACACACACACACACCTCCAGACACACCCCCCTGACACGTCACTGCAGAAAGAAAATATACTGTATTTTAAAGATGCATACATGAAAAAAAAAAATAAAAAAAATATATATATATATATATATATATATATATATATATATATATATATATATATATATATATATATATAATAATAAATAAATAAATAAAATAAATACATAAAACATAAATTAATTAATTAATTAAATAAAATAAAACAAAATACAACAACACAACCTCACAGTGTGATATTTACTGTGATTTCATGGGAAACTCATGATACGGTGAAGAGTGTCACAATATTATGATATTCTACATAATAAGAAGAGTGACATTATAAAATACTTTGACCATCACCTGGTTCAACATTTATTGTCATTTTCAGATCAGAGACTTTTTGAACAGATTGAAAAGACTTTGAAGTTGAAGTGAAAAATTCAAATAACAAATAAAGAATTGTAATAAACCTGTGTGTCTCTTGATGTGACACGTCTGTGGAGAGGAGAGGAGACGCTCTGACGCTTCAGGCTCTGTACATCAGTCTTTGTCTGTAGGCAGCAGGAAAACTGTTGGACTAAAATGTGCTCAAGATGTTATTTTCTATTTTGGCTCCAGTTTATCCTCTGACTTTTTAAACCCGATGACATCACCGTGGAAAATGGATCAAATCTCTGGCTTTATATTTTTCTTTTCTCTGTTGTGAGACAGTTCTGTTTCACGTAGAGTTTTTTGTCCCAAGTTGACTTTCTGAACACATTCTTGAACATTTTCGTCATGTTGGCTCATCGAGGTTCTTCTCATGTTTGTAATATTTCCCTGTGAACCTCACTCTGCGTTGTGTCTGTACTCTGTCTGCTGTTTGTCCATCATCTTTTCTCTTTTCTCATTTTGTGTCACGACAAACACAAAAAGCTTCTAGACCTCAGACTTTAAAGCCTCTGGTTCATCCACAGCGGGCGCACAGGATTATGGTCCATGTAGTTTACTGTGCACCACTAGTCAGTCTGGTCCTAGTGTTTCCACTCAATTTCATTTCTCTCCAGCGACTGTCGGGAATCAGAAAACAATAGATGGTTTGTAAAAACCCCAGACGTGCGAGTTCAAGCACCAGCCAATCAGAGAAGAGACAAACATTCAGTGTTGGCAACAATTCTCGAGATCGAGGATTTAAAGTCGTAACAAAGAGAATGTTTGGTGAATTTTATCAAGGGGAAAGACGTTATTGTTCTTCTTCTTACAGGATTTGGGAAAAGTTTAATATACCAGTTTGTCCCGTTAGCGGCGCAGTACATACGTCACGACCAAACAGCAGCGATTGGTTAAATGAAAAAAGTGTCCACCTACTATCGAGTGAATCCTAATGCTGCGAGGTCACACAGTTTCTACAAAGTGAAACGAAGTAAAACTGGCTGATGAATCAGGCGAGTGCACCACAGGAGCCGACTGAAAATTCATATTTTTGCCTAAAGACACAGAGTGTAACACCGTGACGAGACCACGACGATATCGTGGCAATTTTATTATGACGATATTGTGATATCCAATATCGTTACAGCCTAAGTAATTAATAAAGAAAAAAACACACACTTTCACTAGAATCATTTGGATAATTTCAGTCCTGAAATTGCAAATCTCTACAGAACTAAAAGTAAAAGGAGCTGTTCACCACTCCATGACATCACAAGGTGGAACAGAGCATGTGGAGTTTTGGATGTAAACAGACTCATAATAAAGAGTTTCTCAAACATGTGAATGAAACAAACACAACTGCAGCTCTGGTTTAGAGGAGAAACATTAAAACACAGTGGCAGGATTTCAAGTCTTAACAAAATGAAACTGGTCTGGAAACAACAAACAGAGCTGCTCAAACCAGATTCTCACATTTTTGACTCATTTTTGTGGTGTGTGTTTTTTGTTTTTCTCAGTTCAGTCCCACGTCTCGGCCCGTCTCCCCGAGTGTGCGGCTCAGGGTTAGATTCTCCTCCCACTGACAGCTCCACTGCACGTGCTCAGTGCGTCTCTAATTAAACACTCTGTCTGTTACAGCGCAAGACCCGAGACCAGACCAAAGACCCGAGACCAGACCAAAGACCAGACCAGGGACCAGACCACTTCAGAGGACCGGAAACATGGATTAAAACCTTCAGGATCCCACTAACCCACCGCACTACTGCTGACTCATCTAAACCCTGTGCTCAGGCGCTGGTTTAGTGCTGGTTTAGTGCTGGTTTAGTCCTGGTTTAGTCCTGGTTTAGTCCTGGTTTTGGACTCAGAGGAACCATGTCCTTCCTTCATCTCTGGACTGTTTTGGTTGGACTGCTGCTGCTGCTGCGTGTGGACTTCTCAACGCAAAACAAAACTCAAGGTAAGAACAAATTTTTTATAAACATTTCAATTTTCTTATTTTTAATTCAGTGCATGAAATTCATTTGGAAATTTGCTTGAATTCTGAAAATTTTGGCTGATTTAGTGCATTTTTAAAATAATCTTTTTAAAATTTGTTGAGATATGTTTGACTTTTTTATTTGATTTTATGTAATTTATTGGAATTTAAATGGTTTTGATATTTTTATTCAACTTTTTAATCAATATTACCACTGAAGTAACATTATATTTTCTTTTTTTTCCTTATTCCACTTTAATTATTCAAATATAAGTAGTTTGAAATGACTCTAGATAATATAGGTCAACTATAAATACACGTAATAAAAATATCTGTGTTGTAGCTCAGTAAAACGTGTTTGGAAATGTCGTGCTGTAAATGCGTCCTTGGCATCTGTCCGATTAATAATTACATCACATTAAAATGTGCGTCTAAAGTCTAAAGTCGAGTTGAATCTTGTAGAAAAAAAAAAAAAAAAAAAGAGTGACGACGCTTCACTTCCTGCCTCCTGCCTCCAGTGGAGTTTCACAAACCACATCTGAACGTTTCAACACAAGAATGAGTCAGACATTTAACTTTTATGCCACTTAAAGTTCATTTGTGACACGTGGGTTTATTTTATTGTTTTGTCATTTTCCTTTTAAGACCTTGTGACTGATTTTTCCCCCCGAGTGTTTGAGTAAAACGTGTCTTGCCCCAGGAATGAAAAAAAAAATAGATCTATTTAAATTAAAATGACTTAAATTAAGAACATTTGACTTTATTTGAGGTGATTCAACTTGAAAATTAAAATGATCCACCAGAGGAATAAGTGAGTTTTTCTTAATTCAAGCAACATTAGAGTTTGTTTCTTATTTTAAGTGTAAAAAGTTGTTGTTTTTCTTATTTTAAAGCAGAACTAAGTAACATTTTTACCCTGATGAGTCTCTTTCAAAGACGCTCTGATGTGGGGTGACCATATTTCTGTTTGTGAAAACCCGGACACTTTACCGGGGGAGTGGGGGGGGGACTCACACTTGTCCCGACTAGGATGGAAAACAGAGAATTATTAACAGAGAGTCATTGTTAAATGTACATTTGTGCTTCAGCGTGTTTCAGACTGACCGACTGTTTGTGTCTCGCTCCTTCTGAGTCACAGACGCTACGAGAGACGCTCAGTTTAATGTCCCAATGAAAGATCATGAGAACTCAGACATTTTCATCACTTAAAAAACAAAAACAAAAACCTGGATACTGAGGACAGGACGCAAAAAACGTACATGTTCGGGGAAAAAAGGACATTTGGTCACCCGCCTCTGGTGGTTCCATGTGACGTTTTGGGGTGTTTGAAGGGCACAGCTGTTTCTGGGCGGAAAAAACAGACATGCAACTTGGCTCTACCGACCCGATGTCAGCGCTCAGGCCCTGTCCACACTAGTTCATACTCGAGTCGTTTTCGTTGTGGATGCAGTGTTCGTTCACACTAATCCAATGGAAAACGGCTCCAGAGACGGAACGATCTGGTGCAGTCAGAGTACAGATCTGATCCTTGACCGTGTGGACTCCTGAAAACACTGATACTCTGATGTAGGAGCTCGAGTCTCGTCCTTATTGGACACGTCACTGTGACTCGCTCCTTCCTGATTCTCTGGGTTCGTGACATCGGTCATGTGATGCTATTGCGGAAAACAGTTTACTGGAAAACGGGAAACAGAGGAGTTAGAACTACTCACTGGTACACGGTCCATGAAAAAATGCTTCCCATCTTCCTCGGCTCGAAATCGGCTGCTGCAACTTCAGACATGGTGCTCTACTTCCTTGTTTTTACTGCCCACGTGACGTTGTGACGCCAGCCTGGTCATGTGACGAGTGTTTCAGGTGGTTTTGTGTTAAGGGCGAAGTATAGTTCTGTGTCAACTCACACTGCACACTGCTGGTGTCGCCTTATTGCCGTCATTTTTGATTTACGACTTTGCTTCGAGGTCTGTGCACCGCGAAGTCATTCACCCACAAAACACTAAGAGGCGAGAATATGTGTCCATTCATATAAACGTGTGTCTGTGTGTACGACCTGCACACGTATAATCTCACATGAACCAACAACACGACAGAAACACAGAACAGACTCACCATCAGCAGAACACCCCTCTGTCACAGAGAGAACACCCCTCTGACACAGAGAGAACACCCCTCTGTCACAGAGAGAGAACACCCCTCTGACACAGAGAGAACACCCCTCTGTCACAGAGAGAACACCCCTCTGACACAGAGAGAGAACACCCCTCTGTCACAGAGAGAGAAACACCCCTCTGACACAGAGAGAACACCCCTCTGTCACAGAGAGAACACCCCTCTGACACAGAGAGAACACCCCTCTGTCACACAGAGAGAACACCCCTCTGTCACAGAGAGAACACCCTCTGTCACACACAGAGAGAGAACACCCCTCTGTCACACAGAGAGAACACACCCTCTGTCACAGAGAGAACACCCTCTGACACACAGAGAGAACACCCCTCTGACACAGAGAGAACACCCCTCTGTCACACAGAGAGAACACCCCTCTGACACAGAGAGAACACCCCTCTGTCACACAGAGAGAACACCCCTCTGTCACAGAGAGAGAACACCCCTCTGTCACACAGAGAGAACACCCCTCTGTCACACAGAGAGAACACCCCTCTGACACAGAGAGAACACCCCTCTGTCACACACAGAGAGAACACCCTCTGTCACAGAGAGAGAACACCCCCTCTGACACAGAGAGAACACCCCCTCTGACACACAGAGAGAACACCCCTCTGTCACACAGAGAGAACACCCTCTGTCACAGAGAGAGAACACACCCTCTGTCACACAGAGAGAACACCCCTCTGACACAGAGAGAGAACACCCCTCTGTCACACAGAGAGAACACCCTCTGTCACACAGAGAGAACACCCCCTCTGTCACACAGAGAGAACACCCCTCTGTCACAGAGAGAGAACACCCCTCTGTCACAGAGAGAGAACACCCCTCTGACACAGAGAGAACACCCCTCTGTCACAGAGAGAGAACACCCTCTGTCACAGAGAGAGAACACCCCTCTGTCACACAGAGAGAACACCCCTCTGTCACACAGAGAGAACACCCCTCTGACACAGAGAGAACACCCCTCTGTCACACAGAGAGAACACCCCTCTGTCACAGAGAGAACACCCCTCTGACACAGAGAGAACACCCCTCTGTCACACAGAGAGAACACCCCTCTGTCACAGAGAGAACACCCCTCTGACACAGAGAGAACACCCCTCTGTCACACAGAGAGAACACACCCTCTGACACAGAGAGAGAACACCCTCTGACACAGAGAGAACACCCTCTGTCACACAGAGAGAACACCCCTCTGACACAGAGAGAGAACACCCCTCTGACACAGAGAGAACACCCCTCTGTCACACAGAGAGAACACCCCTCTGACACAGAGAGAACACCCCTCTGTCACAGAGAGAACACCCCTCTGACACACAGAGAGAACACCCTCTGTCACAGAGAGAACACCCCTCTGTCACAGAGAGAACACCCCCTCTGTCACACAGAGAGAACACCCCTCTGTCACAGAGAGAACACCCCTCTGTCACACAGAGAGAACACCCTCTGTCACACAGAGAGAACACCCCTCTGTCACACAGAGAGAACACCCCTCTGTCACAGAGAGAACACCCCTCTGTCACACAGAGAGAACACCCCTCTGACACAGAGAGAACACCCCTCTGTCACAGAGAGAACACCCCTCTGTCACACAGAGAGAACACCCCTCTGACACAGAGAGAACACCCCTCTGTCACACAGAGAGAACACCCTCTGACACAGAGAGAGAACACCCCTCTGTCACAGAGAGAACACCCCTCTGTCACACACAGAGAGAACACCCCTCTGACACAGACAGAGAGAACACCCCTCTGACACAGAGAGAACACCCCTCTGTCACACAGAGAGAACACCCCTCTGTCACACAGAGAGAACACCCCTCTGACACAGAGAGAGAACACCCCTCTGACACACAGAGAGAACACCCCTCTGTCACACAGAGAGAACACCCCTCTGACACAGAGAGAGAACACCCCTCTGACACAGAGAGAACACCCCTCTGTCACACAGAGAGAACACCCTCTGACACAGAGAGAAACACCCTCTGACACAGAGAGAACACCCCTCTGACACAGAGAGAACACCCCTCTGTCACAGAGAGAACACCCCTCTGTCACACAGAGAGAAACACCCCCTCTGTCACAGAGAGAACACCCTCTGTCACACAGAGAGAACACCCCTCTGTCACACAGAGAGAACACCCCTCTGTCACACAGAGAGAACACCCCTCTGTCACAGAGAGAGAACACCCCTCTGTCACAGAGAGAACACCCCTCTGACACAGAGAGAACACCCCTCTGTCACAGAGAGAGAACACCCCTCTGTCACAGAGAGAACACCCCTCTGTCACACAGAGAGAACACCCCTCTGTCACACAGAGAACACCCCTCTGTCACACAGAGAGAACACCCCTCTGTCACACAGAGAGAACACCCCTCTGTCACACAGAGAGAACACCCCTCTGTCACAGAGAGAACACCCCTCTGTCACAGAGAGAACACCCCTCTGTCACACAGAGAGAACACCCCTCTGTCACAGAGAGAACACCCCTCTGACACAGAGAGAACACCCCTCTGTCACAGAGAGAACACCCCTCTGTCACACAGAGAGAACACCCCTCTGTCACAGAGAGAACACCCCTCTGTCACAGAGAGAACACCCCTCTGACACACAGAGAGAACACCCCTCTGTCACACAGAGAGAACACCCCTCTGTCACACACAGAGAGAACACCCCTCTGTCACACAGAGAGAACACCCCCTCTGTCACAGAGAGAACACCCCTCTGTCACACAGAGAGAACACCCCTCTGTGACACAGAGAGAAACACCCCTCTGACACAGAGAGAACACCCCTCTGACACAGAGAGAACAC